ATATAAAATGAATGCGAACGGCGTTTGAAAGAAATGCCTCTTTTATGTTACCCAAAAATTACTTGAGGTCCACCAAACACAGGCTGCATGCAAAATGAACCGTGCGTTACGTATGGGTGGCCAGGTCTGGTAAACAAGCCCTCCCCATAGGTGCGTGTTTCCATGCATCCGGGCCCCCGCCAGTCATTCAGACGTGTGTCTGGCAAGCCGCGCCTTATTCTTCGCCCGCAGGTGTTTAGCTCTGCACATTTCCAGCGATGCAGTTTCACGAGCGCCCGCGGTGCGTACACACGCTGGTACACACGCGCTCGCCACGTCTGCGATTTATCGGGAAGCTACCATTGATTTATCGGGAAGTGGCGGTGGATTGACCGTGGCTCGCGATGATGACAGGGGTGGCTTTCGCGGGGGCGGGTTATGAAATTTTAAAAGGCAATTTGGAAACTTATTTTCGAATTGTTCGGATTTATTTTGATGTGCAAATGCAGCATAGTCTACGTGCCAACGAAGGTCAGGGATGGAGAGCGCGTGACAAAATCAAGCGATGCCACATTTTCGTATAAATCCGAAAAAAAACATTCCCTCCGGATAATACGAAAATGTAATTTCTAGGCCCGAATTTTCAGAGAATTTTTTCCTTCGGATTTACCCCAAATTCGGTGCGTATCCAAATGAAATAATACATGTTGAACTTCTTTCGCTCCGTACAAAGCCACCCATGCTAATCGGAGGTACGTTTATAATAAATCATGTATAATAAGTGTACACGTCCAGCCCTTTTGTCAATCAGCTGCTAGATGAGGGCCTCCCCACGCCGTGCGGGTCGTGGGGGATGTGATTTCACAGCGCATTGCAGAGACTCTTTTCTGGAACAGGACCCAACCGTTCAGAGTTCCTGTTCAACTAAATCCTCTCGCCGTCTTTCTCCTCACCGGGGGATGACATTATTTTTGGAATGGCGAACCGTTCCTGAGTTTTTAAGCCACGATCGATCACACGTCTGTTCAAGACCCTGAAAGTAATAAATAAAAACCTAACCTTCGGGGTGGGGTTCAGACCCAAAATATATGTGACAAACACGGGGACAAATAAACTATTAATTCCCACGACCTGGTGCACCCATTGATCTCTGGACTGTTAGCCCTAGACCCTTGTCGCCCACTGCCGTGCACATACACACAGAGTGCAATAACAATTGCAAGAGAAAATGCTCGCTCCAACACACACACACACGCGCGCTAAAACAAAGACAAAGATCCCCCCGTATAACCTTATTAGACTGTTGGGGCAAGTGCTCTTTGCGAGCACCTATGAAGGCTGGCATGGCAGACGAGGGGGTGGGTGGCCAGCATCACACCCGGCCGCCTTTGTCTCCCCAGTGGCGATGTTTACACCCAGGTACTCAGATATTCGTCACCGATGTTGGCCATTGAGCGGGAATCGAACTCGGGTGACCGGATCCGCTATGCTACCGCTCCCCACGGCGCGCACGCACACACACGCACAGAGCAAGGGAGTCCCAACGGTGCGGGCCTGGCGCTGTGAACACGGCAACTGAATTGCAGCTCGTACTGGAGTATCCTGAGTGGGTGGCTCGGTGAGCTCCAGGGTGTAGGTGTCAGAGCAATGAGCTGTCAAGCTGGATTTCATGAGTTCAAGTTCAGGTTTCTGCTTGCCTATCTCTCACTCGCTCTCTCTCTCTCACTACCTCTCTCTCGAGCTTGTTCTCACGCTTGCTATCTATTTGTCCCTTTCTCTCTCTCTCACTCTATCGCTTGTTATCTCTAGCCTCTTCTTGCTCACTCTCTGACTCACTTTCTCTCTTGCTCACTTTTCTCACTCTCACGCTCACCCTTTCTCTCTCTCTCTGGCCCTCGCTTTTCTGCTGTGTCTATTGCTCTTGCTCGTTATCTCTGTCTCGCTCGCTCGCTCACTCTCTCGCTCTGTCCCACTCTCTGTTGGTCTCTCAGGAGGTTCACATTACTGGATTTGGAGCAATGAGCCAGCACCACTGAAAAGTCAGGATGGAATCCACGCAGATGTCCTTGATTAAACCAGGCTGTGTTGTAGTTTGCAGACTTGGGGGTTAATTACGCTCATAATAGTTGCATTTGATCATTTGCAGTCACCGCCATCGTCGTCATCAGCCGTGGTCAATCCACTGCTGGATGAAGGCCCTCTCTATGCCGCTGCCATCTCTCACGATTCTTTCTGCGGCGTCGCAACAATTGTGACTGTAATTGGAGCCCGCAATTACTGGCCACCGCTGTACAAATTGTATTTTTTTTTCATCACGGAACCCCATGTCCCGCAAGTATGCATGGAAACGACGCGTCGAATCGCCGACTAAAATCCATTCCCGTGTTGACGTTACACCCTGATGGATTGCGTGCGCGAGCATCCTAATCCGGTGTTGGTGGTGGTTCTGCACGGCTCGTGGAAGGGAAGTTGTTGTTGTTGACCGTGCGCGAGGTTTAATGGAGGGAACAAAACTTACAGGGGACGAGAGATGGGCAAAACCACGAGACGTCATAAAAAAACGTCTTAAGTCTCGCTTACACATCCGGTCACGGTCCAGAAATCGTAACAAATTCATCGGATGTCTGGGCGGTTGTGTGACTTTTTACATATATATAAAAGTCGGAAGTGCAGTGGCGGTTCGATGGTCTCAGCATGGTCACCAGTCACTCTCAGACAGCGGGGGGTTACCGTGAAGTTCATTTAAATTAACATATTTTTTTATCAAGGGGAGTAAGTGTAATTTATATTCGATCTTCCCAACCCAAATATTTTGTTCTAACTGCCACGCCTGGCATCGGTGCACTACGATGTTACGCCATTGTTGTTCGCAGCAGCGTGCTGATAAGCTCAGCATGTGATTGGATTACATTAGTCACGTGCTCTGCCTGATTTAAGAGTTGCCTGTGATTGGACGGAATCCATCACACGCTCCGTGCGCTTTGTGCGTCATGTTCGAACGAGTCGTGTTCTTTGATTTGTGTTGTTATTTGTGTTTACAGTAGCCTGCTGATGTCGAGTTAGCGGTGATTGAACGGCATCCATCATGGGTATATCTTAACCGTGTGTCTTTCTCTCATTCGCTGTCCTAATTTGTTCGTAAAAGCTTCAACAGTTTGTTTTTATCACGATCGTACAATGGATGCGATAGTCGGAAGGGCGTTATCAAGCCTGTTGATTTCACCCACAAATATATATTGTGTAAAGCAGCACTCTTTTGAACAAAATCGTTCAATGGATACCCGGTAAGATGCAATCAAAAACTATTTCGCACAATTCAACCAGGAATAAAACGCGAATTGCTTGAGAAAAGACACCGCGAAACCACTCCGACAGCACTGGACGTTGGAGAGAAAGTCTTAAGGCTGGCTCTGAGTGCAGTGGATTAGCAAAGTGGCGAGTGTTGAAGTGCGTTGGGGCGTGCAACACGGCCTTGCATCGTTCTACGTGATCCCCAGCAGTGAAAATCGGATATAATGGAAGAAGATAGTTGTATCTTCATTTGTCGTAAAGAAATCGAAGTTGGTGTGTACCAACGGTAATTTTGTGTGTGTGTGCGTTAAAGTCGAGTGCGTGTGTGCGCTGTAGGTTGTAAGATGATTTTTATTGAAACCCGCAAATCAGTCATGAAGATGCGCGATTGCGCCACCACATCCATGCAATTAAAAGGGGCAGCGACGCGGGAGATTTGTTTTTATTGCCCGGTTAAATTTTGTTTTAATAAATGAGGCCGGATGCCTCCAGTGGGCATGCAACAGGCAAACGGAAGCTACGCTTGCTGCTACTGGAGACACACAGGAGGCAGGGCGAGATCATAACCCAGAATCAGAATATGTATTTATACTGCAGGAATCTGATGAGCTATTAAACCATATTTTTTCGAGATGTCCAGTAGGGGCACAGGGTAAGAACGTTACAACAACAAACAGTACACAGACACGATAGTAGGGCAAAGTACAAGGCAGGTAAACAAATCATCCAACACACAAACATATACAACTAAACCATCCCCATCCTGCCTGCAGGCAAAGCCCACTGGCCACAAATGATAGCTCAACAAAGTGGCCCATCATTTGGACATTAAACCACCAAAACAAACCTAAATAATCTCAAAGAACGTTCCCAACTCATTACCCACTGAACAAAAATAAACCCTTCCAACCACCTCTTACCCCAAAGCTGGATCACAAACTATGTTGGGGGGGGGAGGAAAGGCCAAAAAAAAAACAACCCCGATTCTTAGAAAGCACCAGAGCTTAGCTCTGGGATGAGCTGCCGGGTCCGTGCCTCGTGTTGTCCAGCACCGCGCCCGACGTTTCGCGCCGAGCATTCCGCTCGGCTCCTGAAGGAAGGTGCCCAGCACGCAGCGGAGGGGAATCGTCGGGCGTCCAGCCGGGGCAACGCGTGGCACGAGCCCGGCAAAGACGCACCGGAGAGGAGCCGCCGCGCGGTCATAACGCAGCACCGTTGTTCGTGAAACGTCGCAGCTCGGTCCAGTAATAGACTCCACGTGGCTATCTTCTCACCTCCCATGAGCTGCTGCACCCGCCCCCCCCCCCCCCCCGCTAATGTTTTCAAGCAGATGGCAGCACAGTAATGGAATTCTTCAACGTATCCGTGCGTGGCTTTAGGTGTTACCCCCTCATAGGCGCTGGCTTTTTCCAGATAATCTGCTTTCTTCCCACGAGACATACATTCATAATTAAACTCTTACGAAACAAAGTAGTTCTTAAAAAAAATCAGCGAGGCTTTCCCGAATGTATTTCCTGAAGAAGCTTCCGGAACGTAGAGCGAAACGTCGGACAACACGCGCTATACCCCGAAGACACGCCGGAGTGCCGTCCAGCGCAGCTGCGAAATCCTACGCAAAGAAGGCCTTGTAATTATTGTTTGTGCAGCGCACACAATCATTCACACGTGAACACTCCACTTTGACTCATCCGCTCATGGCCATTGTCTCTTGTCACCTCCCACGATCCCAGATTACAGACGACGTGGTGGTCTCTTCAGCCGAGTGCCCCTCTGACGACGAGGACCTTGAAGAGTGTCAGCCCAGCTCAGGTGAGACGTGGTGCTCGCCACACCACCCGCCCCAGCGCATGCGCCGTGATAACCTCGCGGCGGTGAGACGTGAACTCCCTCGCCTGGTCCCCCTTCCTCCCCGCCACCACTTTTGTTCCCTTCACTTTCGCTCCTCTCCCTTGGCCTTCCCCTTCCCCATGTTAAAGAATAAACACAACTACGCTGCCACTCACGGTCCCTGCGTGAGTGGGGCAGAGAGGCCAATCACCTCCCCTTCCCAGCACCCAGGAGCACTCAGTTCCGTCTTTGTTCTGCGACATTTCTGTACTCCCCCCACCACCACCACAACTTTGTTACGGTTTGTGACTTGCACCGCGTGCTTGTCAAAATATTACACTTTTAAAAAAAATGACCTCGCCTGGTGTGCAGGAGGTCGTGGGTTCGATCCCGATGCTGACGCCTGTTTAAGCGTTTCTCTTTCCCCGTGGTCGCGTGGATTTTTCTCCGGGTGTCCCGGTTTTTCCCCTCCACATTTAGAATCAACATCACGCGTTTTAGAGTATTAGGTTGCTAGACATGTCCACGTGATAAGCCACTTTGTTGAGCTATCATTTGTGGCCAGGTCGCATCTGAAAAAGAGCTACACAGCTCAGTGGGCCTTAACTGGTCAAATAAACATGATTTTTTTTTACAGTTGTATACGTGTTGCCTGACAGCACGTGCGCCAGCAGTCTTGTGTAGGCTACACGGGCGATCTTTGCCTTTGTGCGCGGTGCTTGCTGTTGTTGATGCGCGGCGGGGATATCTCGGAAGTCACGTGGCTGCTCCAATCACAAGGAGGAGGCGCGTGCCGTCACACCGAACACACCTGCCGCGCCATGTGTTGCAAGCCCTCTGGAAGCTTGCGAGCATACGGGCGATTCCACGGTAACAGAACTACGAGACCGACGCCAGTCGTATTAGAGACGGGTGGTGAAATGTCATGGGGGCGGGGGTTGTGTAACAGCGCCAAATCCTGCGATGCAAGAACGTTTGGGTAAAACGCACTGAAATCCTAAATGGTTGCTCCTGGCGTGTGACAACGTTGCGAGTGTCAAGGTCTGCGCCGCGTTTCCCTAATTCCGATGCCGTGGCATCGGGCGCGTTGAGAGCATTGCGTTCGTGAACGAGGCATCACCCCGCTGATGGAAAGGAGGATTCTTCAGCTCACGGCACGCACGGTCCGAAGGGCGTAATTTATCAGCAAACGTCTTCGAGGTGGTTCGTTGACTTGAGTAAGGCATGTGAGAGTAGTCGCCATGGCCGTCGCGAGAGGTACACTTGATGTGTTGTGCCGGGCGGGGAGATATTTTGCGGGAGGCGGTGGAGGGGTTACTCGTTCCACCCCGAGCGTGCGGTTATATCCAGTGTGCAGATTTAGCGCAACGCGCACCGTACAACAATCAGCAGCCAGACTTGGCCAAGATCATAATTATACGCCAAGACAAAGACCCACGGAACGCACGCAGTTACTGACAAACAAATCAAATCATGAGTGCATTTTGTAACTGTGCCATGTATTGCAGCGCAATGGATATAGCACGTGGTTCGGTTTGCAATAGTTTTGCCATAGGTGGGCGATCTTTGCTTTTATATTTCCTCATGTTAGGTTCGGCAAAATTTGGATCTTGACGCCGGCAAAAACCACGTGGCTAATCTTTTTTTGGTGTGTTTGTTTAGTTATCGAATTGCATCAAACTTGGTGTTTGAACGTGTGCTGTGGAGCAGACGGTGGCGCGTTTTACGGTCGATACAAATTTTGCGAGATTTGTCCGAACCAGCACGGCCGTGGGGGGTTTCAAGCCGCGAAACCCCCCACGACGATGCCCCCTCTCGAGCAAAGTCGTCACCCCACCCCCCACCCCCTGGTACATAGCGCTCCAATCCCCCGCGTTGCCTCGCGAAAAAGTAATGAATGCTTATTGACAAAATGGCAAGAGGGGTGGTGGTTTTGTTTGTTGTTGTTGTTGTTAAGTTAACAAAAAAATATTATCTTTCTTCGTTTGCCACGGTGTTTTTTTTCTCTCTCTCTCTCTCATTATTCCTGCAAAGAAAATGTTTTTCGCAAAAAAAGATCCGCCGCTGTATTTGAAGGGATTGATCCGGAGGCCCTTCATGTCATCCTCTATTTCGCAGGAGGAAAAGGCACAATAAGATCTCCTGGGGTGGGCTCGATGCTTTATTGTTTCATGTGACCCGCCGTAACTTTCCCCGCCTTGAGCGCCAGTGCAAATATTATTCAACGAGCAAAAATAAATGTATTTGGGGGGGGGAGGGGGTGGTGGGGGTAAGTTTTTTTACGTGACATCCAATCCTCACTGATTCGTGCCACTTGAGACGTTTATTGTTCTTCAAACAAAAGTGAAATCATCTCTCTCTTGCTCTCTCTCTCTGGGTGTAAAAAAAGAGAAATAGAAGAACAAGCAGTTTATAGGGAAGACAGACAGAGAGCGAGCGTCCCCCGTGTGTGTGTGTGTTCCTGCTGCACCCTACCCTGGCACTTGTGCGATGGGAGCGCAGAGGCTGTCTGCCGCAAGGCTGCCAATTCACGCTCCACTCCCAAACTGCTCGGCATCTGCTAAACGCACAGCATCTGAGAGATATGCCCTTTACGGAATCGTTTTGAATGTTCGTGCCGTATATATGTTAATGGCGGGCGTAGGAGGAAATGCACACATCGGAACGAAATATAAATCAGTTGTGGATATTGGCGGTGAAATATTGAGTATTTCTTTTATGTTAGGGGTATGCAGTTGATCATCGATTATCCGGCACTGCGCGATTTTCTGGCCTCCAACATTATCCGGCGGTCCCGGACCGGCAAAACCGCTCCAAAAGCTGTGCCCAGTCCGGCTATTGGCACCGTGTGGGTGACAAAAAAAAATAGCTGTGGTTGATTTCAACGTCAAATATTATATAGAGTACATCATGCACTACATATAACTTAAACAATGAAAATACCGCACGTATGTACACATTGCCCCATGCAGAGTCTTCGCGATTGGAGTGGTAAGTACAGTAAATACAGTCACTTTTAAAAGGTTATTTAATGTCTATTTGTATGATTGTGTGTGCCAATTAAACTAGATTGAAAACACGCAAAAACATAATGTCATCCAAGAATGTGCAAAAATAATCTATTTTAAATCATGATGATTGGAGATTATCCGGCGTTTTTGGAAATCCGGCTTGCCCTCTCCGAAGCCGCCGGGATAATCGATTATCTCCTCTAGTTGTGTAACACCGTTGCTGATCACAGACCCCAAACAAGGCCCAGAATCGTCGAGCTGCGAGCAAACAAACGGCACTATGAGTGGAAGTTGAAATAGATAAGGGCTTAAAGCGTTTTATGTTTAATTGAGCAAAGGTGTATAATTGGAAGCTTGGAAAAAAAGAGGCGACAGGAAGAGTGAACTTGAGAGTGGGGTGGTTGTGAGGGGAAGATGCCGACAGAGAAGCGTTGTGTCCTGCAGCGGTCGTGCTAGTGAATCCGAATAATAATCTTGATTTAGACTGCAGGAGGCAATCCGATGAGCTGTGAAGTTCTTTTTCACGGATGTCCACTCAAGGCACAGGGTCAGAACGTTACAACAACAAACAGTACAAACAAAACACACGATAGGAGTACAAAACATAGGAAAAGAAAGCAAGTCACTAAGTGACATATAGATAAACCATATAAGGACAAATTGCAAAGGTAGACAATTTCCTGCCCATGTTTCAACAATAAATGCAAAGCTCGGGAAAGGCAGCAAATCAACAAAAACAACAGTCCCAGATCACGGCAGGACAACGCACAATCCCCCAATAGCATTGCAACGTTCAAAAGTGTCTGGGCAGAGTGCGAGCTGTCGATGAGAAGACCTGGGGGGGGGCGGGAGGGGGGGTCCATCGCATGGGAGGAAGAGTCAATGAGTGAAGTTCACGCGAATAATCACGCGTCACTTAATGAGACCACAGCTACTGCTGGGTATCCCTCCGTCGTCGGCCGATGCCTCCTCCTGTTTTTGTCAAATTGGCAGTCAAAACAATATGCCAAGCCCACATTTGGCACAAAATCACGCACACATCTGTTTGGCACCGTAATTACACGAGCTCATTTTGGTCTCTGGCTCAACAGCTGCCGGATTACCGGTGGGCATTTATGATAGAGATGATGAGTGCGTTAATGATAATCGCAACCCTCTGTCCATCCACTGCTGGATGAAGACCTCCCCTCGCCGTGTCGGCCATGGCAGTTATGGGAGCTGCTCTACCATACTTCATGATAGGTTGATAATTGGGTCTCGTAGTGGTGTGGTGGGGACCAGAACTTGGTGAAGCGATGTATCCACGAGATAACCAACCCGGTTGAGCTGAGTTCAGTTTCCCAGCGACTGCCAGCATCAGCGGTGAGCAACTGTCTGCACCAGCCCTGGCTTCCCCGTACCTCCCTTTAACAAACCCAGAGTGACCACTGTGACTGTCCTGTCCCGTCAACCAACCATCGGGAGCAACGTGGCGCGGGGGATCCGTCATCCAGCAGTGGAAAAAAGGGAGATCGGTGTGTTTTAGGATAGTAAAAAAAACTAAACTGAGAAAGAGTAACTTAATTATTATAATACTTATGATTAATTCCTTTACCTGGGAGGGCTTTGATGGTCCTTAAAGACTTTTTTTCAGGGGGAATGTCCTGCTTGAAATATTTGTTGAGTTCTCCTTTTAGTATTTTATCCACGTGGTGTGAAAACCGGAGTTCACTGAAGACGCGTATATATGTACGTACGTACGTTGAACTTGTTTCGCACCGTACGTAGCCAACCGTGCTAATCGGAGGTGCGGGGGAAGGACAACAAACTAGTCAAAAAACGCAGTTATAAAGAAATGCGTTTTCAATTTATAGTTTTTTTAAGTTCATAGCTCTATTGGCTTCTTAATATCGGAAGGAAGAGCGTTCCAGACGGCCACAGAAGCACATCTGAAAGGACGTGATGCTGTGATCATCTTTGTTCGATGGCTAG